ACAGAGGTATTGTTTCCCTTCTTGTATTCAAACAGTATCACATGCCGAATGTGTATCTCATCGTGTGCCATCACTACAAGGGATTAGACTATACTAAATTTTACACGTTATATAGGCTACACTAACTTGAGGTTTAGATGGTTCGTTTAACTATTGTACATGATTTACGTTTTTTTGGGGGCGGTTAATGAAAGTGTTCCAAAATGCGACATTAATTTCTTGATGACCTAATACATAATTTAATAGGTTAAAACATTGGCTTTCAATTTGTTGATTAATATAGTATTAAATGTCAGAGATTACTATTAGTAATTTCTGAAAGAGAGGGCATGAAAGGTGGGCATGACAAGAGGGGTCTGATTTTCAATATTGAAGGCTATAAACATTATGCTTTGGTTTTACCTGATCAATGATAATGTTATGAGTAATTTAATTAAATAATTAAATTTCATACTTCTTGGGTGGGTGGTAAATGCAACAGTGAAGAATGGATGCCTAGAGAGAAGACGTTACAATCTCATACTAGAGGAAATTCAGGATTTTTTTTAATATTGCCTTATAAATTCAGAAAAACTTGTATACTATTAAAATTTGGATTTTTTTATACCAAGTTTATTCATATATCATGATAATAAAATAGTTTAATTAAATTTTGAATGTAACTCACTAAAACTTTGTGACATGCAGAGAAAAAGATGTCCATATCAAAAGTTTTAACATATCTACTTTCTATGACATAAAACATGTGTTAGCAAAGAGTCACAACAATAATACATTAAACAAAATTTCCAAACAAATAAAACTTTTTGTAAGCTTTCACTACTGACATTAATATAATTGAAGTTAAATTAACAGCACATTTAAAATTGGATGCAGCTTTCAACACACCTGTTAATGCAGGATTCAATCATATCACAAGCCATCAATTTTAGCCTCTGCTCAAGATGCTTAGCAAACACCTCATCAGGCCAGTGAAGTTCTTGAATAAATGACTGGAGAGCATCTAATTTCCAGAACAGATCTTCAGAAGTAGCACATCCATTTCTGAAAACACAGAAGTAACGCCAATGAAGTGACGCAATTAAACATAACAAAACCACTTTTGATTTATAACTGTCATTTAAGTCTAAAGATCATTGCAATATAATAGTCAAAATCCATTATAGAAGAAAAAGAAGATTAAAATGTTAACATGGAGAAACCGCGTGTACTTTATTTTGTTTTCAAACTTTCCTCTTCTTTGAATCATTATGAATATTTTTGTAATTAAAATCAACACAAGATGACATATGACATACACATACAGTGGAGGGAATGTCCTACTACAAGCAGTCAAGAAATTTAAAAACTTACCCTTTAAGTTCCCATCTTTCCTTCTCAAAACCTTTATGAAGAGACTGGGCTATGGAGGACTCCATAAGATCAACATATCTCACAACTTGAGGAGCAAATGTATCTCTAAGGTGTTGATGAAATCGACCACCGCAAAGATTCTCTGAATAAAAATAAAAATGCAAAGCATGCAAAAATCACATTATGATAATATAGCAACAAATCAGTTAACAACAAATGTGAACTATGTAGTATTGTTATTAAAATAGTTTTCAGTCTGTTTACTTTTCCAGCTTTGTGCAACTTCAAACAAAATAAATGATGAAGGAAAATACTGAAATACATAATTCTACCTTAATCAAGCAGTTTCTGGGACTTCTTAATATTACTTATTTTCTCACTTTGCAACATATAAGAAACTGGCATATATCACACTGCTCACATATTCTAATGGGATTATCAGATATGCTATTAGTTGAGTGAAACTTTTAGTGGGGTAAAACTTACATTGTTCTTATGCTTGCATATCAATCACATCTGTAACAACTGATACTCAATATGAGTCATACTTATCAAAAGATGGGAGTCAGGCCTCCCATCTCCAATATGAAGAAAAGCACTCACTTCACACCTTTGCCTAAATTTTGATAGGTTTACGATTTCCTCAACATGAATTCAGGTTTTGGTACAAAACAATGACTCACTATTAAACAGATAAATGTCCTTATATAAATTTGGTAGCTTTAGGAAAAAAAAAGGGTTGAAAAAGAGATAAGTTAAAAAAATTACAGAAGGTCGTATAAGTCAATAATTATATTTTATCTTCTCATTAATACTTTTGCTTTTATTGTTTTTCCAATTTCCATTACATCTTGGCTCCCCACTACAAAGTAGACCCAAATTGGCACTATAAGTTTAAACATTTTTTGGGGAAACATACCCTTAAACCCTATACTCATTGACTATTTGCCATTCAATGTTGAAAGTTAACATTTTCCTTACCTGAAAATGTATTTCCAATAGATATTGATCTCCATTTATAGATTAGCTATTTTACTCTTAGTTGCACTATTCTGCCTTAGAGAACTGCATGCCAACAGCCTAGTGAAACTCCTTCCTAAAATTCATGTGAAAACATGTAATTTTGTACTACTGCATAATGACACATCGTACGGCAAAACCCGCCACCAATAGGAGTGTGACATATCTCCCTACATAAATGCTCCCTCTATATTCACATACAAAATCCCCATTCTTTGATGAGGCAATTAATAAAAGTGTACTGTAATATTTGGAAGGAAGGGTGAGAATGTGCATGGAGGTGATTATCTGCCAGGAATACATTTTCAGGTAAGGAAAATGTTAACTTCCACTATGATGATTCATCTCAGTGTGCAGATTAACTAGAATCCCATGTTGAGAGAGTGGAGGGATCAGTGCAGAAATTACCTAGATGAGTCTCCTTTCAAGAGCACTAAAAGGAAGTCCATGGGGTGAGACACCCTATGGCAGGAGCTACATAGGGGCACACCCATGGGAGACTGCATCTCATCTCAATCAGGGTATACTCTTTGCCCAAGTGAAGGATAGGGAGAGGTGAGAAACCTGAAAGGTGTCACAAAGATGGGCAGAATAGGTACATTTCTGTCTGAGAGATTGTACATAAGCCATCATAAGGTAGTAGTACAGTCGGGATATGTTCAGACTGTACCAAGTGTGCTCATCTCCTCAATCATAAATCTCTATGGGTCAATACCATCTGTGGGAGAAAGGCACATGGGAAAAGTATCCATGCACTGCTTCATAACCAGACACTAAGAGCCCACGCCAGTCATGGTTAGAGGGCACCACAGTTTAAGGATACTTTGAAACCACAACTCAACACTCAAACATCATACTCTATTGACCCATCACCATCACAGTTGGATATTAAAAAATATCAATAACTCTACAAGTATAATCGGTGGGGTTATGACTTTGCAAAAGTAGGTGAAGGAAAACAAAGAGTAGGTGAGATATGTGTCCAAAATCCATTCAGAGATTGTGATGTATCCAGATAGGTTGGGGTGGTCTAACACTCTGGAAACACCCTTGCTCCACTTCTCAGCATAAAGGGACTCTGTGTTGTAGAACCCACTTTCAGGTCTCGGTCGATGAGGATTCTCCATGGTCCATCACCCTAGCAATTGGGAGCTGGTAACTGTCAAGGGTCTCCCATGTTTTAGTTGAAGGGGGGGGGATTTTCAATTTATGTAGGGGAGACCTAGAAGATGTGTCCAGATCCCCATCAGTCCTTCAGTCTGGAATGTTTTTGTTTTTTTCTGGAGACAATGCAATGAGTGAGTGATGAACCCTTGAACCCTATTTTTAAAAGCCAGCAAGCATCAGCCTGAGAAGCAGGTAGAAGCACAACACTGGTGGCAGCTTTTTCCATGATAATCCATGGAATGGGTACAGTCTGGATCAAACTGGAAAAAGTTATATATAGTATCATGAGTAGAATTCCAATGGTCTTGTGGAACACCCCATCTCATAGCAGGCACTGACTGGGCCAAGGCAGATGCTCTGAGTGTTTTCCATGATCTTGGCTTAATGCAGAATATTGGGTAAATATACTCTGTAAGGCAATGGTAGCCACCTAGTAGGATCCAAAAATAGAAGAACGGTGAGGAAGAAATAAGTAAATGAATACTCACACCCATTAAAGATGTAGGATTGATTGAAGAATGGCCATTGGTGGAAGTCTGTATGCTACTGGATATGATACAGACAGATGGTGGAGATAATTTAATGCGAGATGAATGACTGTGGGGTAATCCACATGCCAGCCCAGAGAAAAGCAGATGGGTAACAGGAGTGTGACCAAGGGACAGCTACATGATCAGGGAGATGGACTAGACAATCCAACACACAATGATAAAGGGATGTCATATTCCAAGGAAAGAGCAATGTGTGAAAGTGGACCAGAGGTTTGGGAAAGTTGGGAAGGAGAAGACAGGGCTGAGATTCAAGGAGGTAAAATAATAGATAGACTTTGAAGGGCCACCAAAGGGACCCCTTAAGGGGTGTCCTAAAATTGAGCAAGGAACTGAAGGAGGAGGTGGAGAGGAGAACATGCATAGTATAAAAGATGAGACAGATTAGACTGAAGGCATAGTAAACCAGGGTTGAGGAATTAGGCACGGAGAGGAAGGTAGGAAAGAGGTGTGGCAAGGCAACAAAAGAAGGAACAGTGAGAAAGCAGAACAGTGGATGAGGAACCAATCCATGGGTAAGATGCTAACATGTCGAGAAGACAGCCCATAACAATGTGCAGTGCCAGCAGAACATTATAGGTTATGAACACATTCAAATGGCATATGCCCAGAATCAATTCTGAACACTATCTTCTATATGTATTCGTAAGGAAAGAAGACTAAACATTATCTACTACGAGTACATGTAACAGAGTAAGTAGCCATATCTAAACATATAGTGATACTGTATGGAGCAAATGATTATGTCTAAACCATATTTTCTAATAACATGTGAAATAGTAATTAACCAGATCTAATCATTATAGTCTATGTGTACATGTTAAAGAGCAAAGAATGAGGATGAATTATTATTCACTATGTGTAAATGCTAGAAAGTAATGATCTATAACAAAATAGTATTGTCTACATATGACTTGTCAAAGTGAAATGGATGAGAACTAAACACTACCATTCATGAGTACAAATTATGCAGTAAAATACTAAGACAAAACATTAAGTAGACATGTTAAGGAATAATGAATGAAGTCGATACATCACCATCAAAGTGTTGCAAGTTAAGGAAGAATACACAATATCGGAATATTATCTCATATGCGTACAAGGGGTAATGAAAAAGAACTAAACATGAATGTCAGAGTATGCATGCTAAACAGGAACTAGATCGAAGCATCATCTACCATGTGTACATATTAAAGAGTAATGAACTATGATATAAACATTACCTTCCATGCAACATAAGGAGTAAGGAACTATGACTACACAACATATTCTGTGTTATATGTGAAGAAGTGATGAACAAGAAATAAACATTAACATCTAAAAGACAAGTTAAAGAATAATGAACTCTATCTAAACATCAACTCATGATGTCAGAAAAACATGTAGGTTCAAGAAGTCTTGATACAAAATGATGAAAACCCTATAATGAACCGTGACCAAATACTATAAGTGGGACATGGTAAGGAATAAATGAAAAATTTCAAAACAATATCTTCTATATGGAAATGTTATGGAACTAGAACCAAACTTTAACAAGGATGTGCACATATTAACTTAAGAGCTAAAATAAAAAATTAACAGTTATATGTACATGGCAAGGTATAATCAAGTAAGAATAAGCATTATCTTCCATGTGTACATGTGAAGAAGTGAAAAGCTAGATGTAAACATTATCTCCTCTTTGGACATATTAAGGAGTAATAAACCAGATTAAAACATCAGCAACTATGTGTTAGATGCAAAAGAGCAACTAACTGTAACGTCTATGTTTACATGGTAAGAAACAAGTAAATAGGACCAACCATTAACGTCTGTGTGTACATATGAAAGATAGAAGTATTTAATCTATAAAGACTAAACAAGTACAAAGAGGTCATGTAGTCGGTCAAATCAACTGACTTTATGTTGAGAGTTAACATATAGCACTTAGTATATTATGTTTAGTTGTAATTCATCTAACTTTCAATATAGTATGTATATCTTCACAAAATGTGGCAGTCTTTCACATACAACAAAAAATAATATTTTTAGTGAAGTATTTTTAATAAACTAAAATAAAGATTTCTCCATGAATATATTAAATATTTGTTTTGAGTAGTCTGTGTGCAAAGTAATTTTCATGTTAAGATTAAAAATACTTTTCCTCATCTCAAATTTCCTTTGTGTAATCCCTAAAACCTCCTAAATACATTTCAATCACATTTTTCCAGTAAAACTTTATATTTCATCTATTATTCTCTCTACCCTAACTCAGAGCGGGATCAGTCAATTTTTTTCCTTTCTAGAATAACTTCAATTTGTAACATGAAACTACATTAGTTTATCCTAAGTAGATTTAAGCTCATAACAGTATACATCTATTTATAATTAAATTTTATAGTTTTATTGCCCTTTGAACTGTGTCTAACTACTATCCGTGCCATAAGTAGTAAATCATTTGGGACACATGCAGCTCATGTTACGCTATCCAATTACGTTATCTATGTGCTGCTCGCGCGTGTGCCTCATGAAACATATTTTATTATATTATTATTATTTATTTATTTTACCTATTTTTATTATTTATCTAATCATAACTAACCTAAAAAGATCACTATTTTTACATTTCATTAACATTTATAATAATAAATGAAGAATAAACATAAAAAACAAGTAAATTACTTACTCAATCTTCTTTTTTCGCTGCCAATTGTTAATTATACTTAAGCCTACATATTTTATACTAATGGTAGCAGTGCATTAAATAAATTTTATTTAATTAAATAATGTACCAAAGAACATAAACTAATAACATGCAAAAAGCAGAGAATTTCCCCTAACTCTCAAAACTTTTCTGGCTTTCTGACTATATGACAAGAGCTATTACAAATTCATCCAAGCTAGTCATTAACATTTCCATGGGAATGAAGCTTGTACTCTGAGTGAAATTGACATTTATCTGTTCAGAATACAACGTTATACAATATATCATTTGATAGATGAAAACCTTGACTTTCTATTAGTTATAGGTAATATATAATTAAACGTAAAAGAGAACTATTAACAACTATGAACAGATGGATCTCAAGACAAGATTGTGGAATGGGTACCCCAATAGTAGTGTTGTTCCGATCCAACCACAATTCGCATGAGACAGGATGATCCAAAGGATCGGAATGCATGATCCATTGGTCACACAGTGACCACTAAAGGGACCTCATATGTGTTCTTCCCTAAGAAAAGAAAAGCTTGAGGGATGCCCACATCCTCAAAAGAGAGAGAACCATCCACGCAGTAGAAGAAGGAGACAGAAGTAAAAGCCTGATGGCTATTTCCATGGCTTGTAACCTGCTAGAGGTTGGTTGAACTTGGACTTAAGTGAGTATTGAAAAAAACACACCCAGATGGACGAGATATTACGTTGGTGACAGAATAGATTTCTCCAGTCTAATAAGGAAACCTGCTTTTGTGGCTTCTGAAAGGAGAATCTGAGAGTGTTCTGCTAGTCGATGGGATGGTGCCAGAAGGAGTCAGTCATCCATATAATGATGTGTGCACAGACCCAAGGAATGCAGATGATGAGAAAAATCTTGAACAACTCTGCAGAAGACATAATATGCTGACGCAAGATCAAAGGGTAGAGCCCTGAACTGCAATACCTGACCCTTGTGCACAAATCTGAAGAACCTCTGGGAAGATTCTGCTACGGGAATATGGAGATAAGCATAGATAACATTGAACATGGTAATCCAGATCCCTGGCACAAAGTGCCATAGTAAAGTGAGGAGGATCTAAAAACTGGTTGAGTCGAGATAGATCAATGATTGGACACCAATCTTCTGTCTTCTTGGGTACAACGAATAAATGGGAATAAAATCCCAGAAGAATGGTAGCGACCTGCTCTACTGTCTTTTTGGACTAAATTTTCTTATGGCCTGGGAAGTGAAAAGGCAACAGGTTGAGCAGATAATGGTGGAGGTGATGTAAACTGAATGATGAACCCTGAAGTCAGAACATGAAGTACCCATGGATCCCTGGTGAAAGAGCTCCAGATGTGAAGAAAGTGACGTAATCATGCTCCTCTGCCCATGGATAGTCACCAATGCCATTGTAGACAGTCCTTCCGAGCTAAAGACCCTCAAGAATACAGACGGCCTTTATTATGGGAACCAACAGACCTGGGAATCAAAGGAGGAGGTCAGGAAACACTAAGAGCCTACACCCCCAAATTAGCACCAGAAAGGTGAGAAGCTAACGATGATAAAGAAGAATGTAAATGAGCTGAATCAATTCATGATTCTAACGTCTCTGGAACTCCGGCATACCACATGGGATAGAGAAAAGGAGATTTCCATAATTCCCTGAGGGCAGAAGACAGTAAACAAATATTTTCTGACAAGACATCTCTACCCAATAAATCCCACAAACAAACCAGCCAAAAAACCAGAAAAAGAACTGAAGAAGACAATCTGACTGAAGTAGGTGTCAGCAAAGTCCCCAACTCATTCTCAAATTGCTGAGAGGAATGTTGATAGGCTTCTGACAAAAGTTGGATCGAAGATAAATACGTCAGGACAGTAGTGAGAGTAAGACAAATCCAAGAAAACTGTGATCTGTGATCAAAGGTTCCAATCTAGAACCCTGTGGGTCAAAAAGGGGGTCCCCATCCACTGAGAATCTAAATATACCTACTCCTGGCAGTGATAAGCCAAAGCATGCTGTTGAGATAAACGTGGGGGACAAGGCATAGCTATCCCATCACGTAAGTGAGCAGCAAATCTCCCAGCATGAACAGCAATATCAGGAGAAGGAGGTAAACCAAGTAGTCACTTGCCATCTTTTCTGCAAGGAAGGAGTAGAGTCAAATGCAATAGGAGAGACCCCGAAAACCTCACAAACCTGAATAACCAACTGAAGAAAAGTGGCTGGATGTGGCCAATCAAGAAAATCCTCTGTTGAGGCCGACCTGGTAAAAGAAGGAGCCGGGAAAAGCGATTCTAAGTTCTCTCCAGCTGATCCCGAGTCATTTGCCAAAGCCACCTTAGAATCCCCACAGAGACACACCTTTGGTTGGCATATATGTCACCATCTCGCAAAAGATCATATCATGGACAGCCTAGACTGAGAGTAACCCCTTCCCTGGCCACTGACAAACATCAGATAGCAGAGGTGGAAGAGAAAAGGTTTGGTTGGTCCCATTAGTAGAAACATTAATTCGGGAATTCATACTGGTCAGTATTTTTTTTTAAATTAATTTATAAATATAAGTGAAGATATAACCGTAGTAACACTAACTACGTCCAAAGTCACAACATAAATAGTGAATAATCACAACACTTTTGTTAACAGAAACCCGTGCCAAATGCTTTGTTGAGAAAAAAGTGATTATATTATCTGAATGTGGTACTTATATACAGTACTTAGATAGAGGGCGCATCGAAGTTGGTGGAGAAATTTGCAAATTAGAATTTGTCAAGGGTATTCGAGTGGGGTATAAAAGACTGGAGCAAGCGTTTTCAATGCTTAGATGGGCAAAGAGTGGAAACGCTGAAGATCGAGAAATAGCTAAAATGTTAGCGGAGGTATGTATGTTTTGGAAATATGGACTATTAGTTACGATTTTATGCTATATTAATTGGTATAACATAAACAAAAAGTAGTTTTAGTGTCTTACATTCAAAATTTTATTAATGTAAGACACTAAAACTTTCTGTCATGCATAGTAAAGGAAACTCAGGGCGAAAGAGTTAAAGGAGTAACTAACTATGAATACACATTATCATGTAAGTAGTACAACTTAAGTAGTAATGAGTCAGTTCTAAAAGATGTATCATATGTGGGTATATTAAGGAATAATAAATGATGTCTAAACATTAATTCCTATGCATTACATGTTATTGAAGAATAAACCAGATCTAAACAATAATTTCCATGTGTTACCTAGTAAGGCAGGAAACACAAGGAATGAATTAAACCTGAAGTAAATACCAGGTGTGGCACTAACAGGGGAGAAGAAAGAAAACAACAGGTACAAGGCATATATAAGGTGGGAAAAGTCAGGATATATTCCATAGGTAGAGAAGTAATGGGTAGAAAAGTTGCTCCATTTCATCCTCCTCAACTTCAGATTCAATATCTGTGAAGGGAAATGTGTAACAGAGATGGAAAAAAGAGGGTCCACACAACAACATGGACCCCACCACATGTTTGATGATGTTACTTTATTATTTTTACTGTATTTGTCAACCTGAGCAGCACCTTTTGTAATACATGATGGCTGTCATGATCTCAACTGGCAAAGAACTTTCTAAATTGTTGGTGATTGTGAGTGATATTTGTATTCATATCTGCAGAAAAAGAATTTACGTTAACCTGTGAATTCATATTGAAAGGTTGAAAATACAACAAAGTTGTTAAAGTATTTACTCTCAGCAAAAATAAACACAAATAGCTATTATGTTGAGGAGGTGAGTCATTGTATTGGAATATGATGATACTGACAAAACTTACCCATTCTTTATGAACCATGCATACTGTAATTAATCAAAATGGAACATGATCTCTTGCAACATAAAATTTCAGGCCTTATACAAATCATAATATGATGACTACAATATTGATAAAACTAGTTTGATGAAACTCATAAAACAGAGAAAAAAGTGCATCCTACTTAGCAAGGTCTATGCTGGTAGATAACTTATGGTTTCCCATATCCCGAACACCATTAATCTACAGATGTTATTGGTAATCTGATGTGATTGGAAATAAATTTTCATTTCTTTCTTTTCTGAACATCCTTATTATACATATACAAACACATAAAAAATTATCTTTGGTACTGTTCAACATGTGCAAAAAATTCATTTTCTTACCATCTATTCTTAGATAATCATTTAGCACCTGGAATAGAGGGAAACTGTCCCATGTATCTGGTGGCTGCTCCGCAAGCACAACGTCCATATCCACAGCAAACAATGACCAAAAGATCTCAGCATGTTCAACCAGCAAGTCACTAAACCATGCAAATGCCTACAGTGGAAAAAAATAATACATGTAAAAAATAAAAAACTACATATACATTATATTCTCTTTTTTCTAAAAAAGAAAAAAAGGACTTATTATAAGTAACAAAATGAAAGACTTTCAGGACTTTCTAAAAGTTAAAAAAATTAATATTAAAAAACATCCTATCCATTCATTGTATAATGACTTCTTGTGGTAATTGAGCTATTTTACATAATTATTGAGTATGTTAAAAAATTTGTGGTTCTAATAGTCATAAATGTAACTAAAATTTTCTTTAAATTAATAAATTGTTTTAATAACATCAAAGCTCTTCTTTCATTGTATTTCTACAATTCTTGTAAAGATTCAATTGGTAAGATAAAACATTACAATGCCCACTTATGTATGCAGTAATGCTTTTATCATCTGTAATCAGCATCTGTAAACATAGTCCTTGGATGGACATGTATCTAGTTTCTGAATTAACAGCCATGTATATGTTTAATCAATATGGCAGTGCTGTCAAAATACATTTGTATAAAACAATAGTCTTACTGCTGAATAAAGTTGAAATATATCATACTACCAACCTGGTTCTAGAGATTTACCATTTTAACTTGGATGGCATTTGAACCTATATCAATACCAATCATACACGTGCATTGATCAACTATTTCTGTAAACTTATAGTTAGAGAAATTATTCAATCAATTAAGACATAACACGCTCAATTTTCACTTGTAACATTTTCTTGAATGAAATTTTTTTGTCAATTGTAGATCAAATTAATATCTGCTCATTTACATGTTATACCCTAAGATACTTAAGTTTAGCTCAGACCAGGGTAGAAAAACAGTCTACATTTTCTTTTAAATGACTGCTTGCACGGATGATCAACTTCATCGTGACAGTATTTCATATTTCATAAACCAATTAAACACTAAAATATGATAACAGAAAAGTGAAATCACTTTTAGTATTAAGTATCAGTGAAGTATAGAATCTTAATGTTATTAAAAATAGTTTAATTATATATACTCACCGCATCCTAGGACAAGAGCAGTGGGAGAAGTCCAGCACGAAAGTATTATTAATGAACATCACAAGGACAACATAGAGAAAACAACAACATTGTAAGAACATTAACAAATTATAAAACAAGCAAGGAAAAAAAGTATCTTCAGCCAAGCCGAAAACATAAAACTTAAGATAAAAAGAAAAAAAAAGCTTTCTTTATTTTTTCAAATCAACATTGAAATACTGTTTCCCAAAACTTAAATGACAACTCCTGGAGTAGCAATTATCTGCTTACAGTTTTTAAGAAATAATCAAACAATTCAAAGAAGATAATACAATATTTGAGAAAATAAGTTTATTAATTCACTCTGGTAGAAAAATTCCAAGCTTTAAAAACTGTTCACTGAATACCTTACTCATAGAAGCTGACAATTGTTTAAATGTCTTAAAACAAAATTTTTACTTCATAATAACTATGATTTTTCTTTAAAGAATTTGATAGCTCAAAATTAATATAATCAATAAACTAAAACATATGCACTTAACAAGACATCTGACATTTCAAGAACAGTATCTTGTTTTATTATCAATTTAATTTACAAAAAAATAAATAAAAATAAAACAAAAACATGCAGCCAAGTGAAGAAAAACCAAAAATATTAGTTTCTTATGTACATTATAACCAGAAATCTCATTTTACTGATATGCTAGTTACAATATTACAAAAGTAATCTGACACCCTTTCTCTCTGATAACTCCCCATGAAATGCTTGGCCATTGAAAAGCTTATTATTATTTTTACTTTAGTAGTGTATAAAATGTATCTAAGATAATTAATTTTTTTAAGACTGATTCTTATTTCTTAAAAACATTGTTAGTACTGCTCACCACAGACTTGTATAATTTACTATTTGTACTTATAGTTATCCCTACCGAAACAGGTTCATATTTACAAGTATCATGTCATTAGCTCATTAACTTATAAAAACTTTATCAAAATAAATTTTAAGCAACAGAAAATATAACTGTTTAAAGAAAAGTTCAGGTTTCACCACCGAGCTGTAAAATTAATATAACTTAGGATTAGCACATGAAGAACAAGATTTGGCTAATTTTAATTTTAGGTAAGGCTTATAGAATTCTTAGTAAATCATGTAATTTGCCTGTGAAGTTTACCATGAAACAATGAAGTACCAATTTCTCTTGGAAACTGCTATAAATACCTCATTAAAGTTCAGTTATTTCTTTTTCATATTTTTCCTTCTTATATTAACAACACTTATAACAGAAAGTTAATCATAATAAATGTAATGTGCTAAATACTGTTTCTGTAAATCACTAATACAGCATTCAATCTTATTACTAACAAAAAATATCCTCTTAAGTAGGTAGCTTTTAAACTAGTGGTTAAATCACATATGTAAAAATGTAGTTCTCTTCAAAATATATTTAGTCACATTCAAATACACAGTTTTAAGTGAATGATTACACTACTTAAGTAACTTTCTCAGTGTATTATTGTAAATATTGTTGCGTCAGCGAGTCACGTGACTACTGTGACGCAACCTTTCTAGAACTATCATGTACTTTGGCGAATGCTCTAGTATTTACTAGATGGGGTAGGCTAGTATATATAAGAGGGGGAAAACGTGACGCGGGAAGATTAAGGTAATGTCTGTGTAGATAGTGAGTAATTGATCTGCAGTCAGAAGTATTATTGAGCACGTTCGTTGTTATAGCGTTTGTTTAGCGT